GGCATCTCTGTTGTGTATTTCATGTAGGTACATGTCTTCCTAAAGCAATCGCCATAGCTGCAGGTCAGTCAGGGAAATAAAAATCAGTTATGTGCTATTTCAGAAAAGTAATGTGAGATTTAAAGATGTACGAAAATCAAAGGATGTGAAGTTCTTCACATTTTGCCCTATAATAATTACAACACAAAACATCTACTCTTTTTTTTTTTTTCACAATAAAAAGACCATCATAGTTAAGAGTCAGGTGTGTCTTTAGTAATTTAATCAATTTTTTTTTAAAGTGAACACTAGTTTTGAATTATTTAGATTAAATTCTCAGATGAGAATTCATACCTTCCTAGTGATTTCATGTGCTCCCAAACGCCAGGAGCACTTGGAGTACTGACTGTATGTCCTGTGCTTACCTTTACAAAGAAGAGTAAAACTTACTTCGCAGTGCCAGCACTATTAGTGGTATCAGTGGTGAAAAGAAAAGCACTATCAATTGAGCAGATCAAATTCAGAGCTGTTCTAGTATGGTTCATGTGGAGTGGACTTGAACCATTGCCACTGACCAGAGATGCTTTCAGTATGTCATTGCTTTCCATTTTTTTTGTAATACTGATAAACCCTGTGTATCTTCTTGTGCACGAGAATAGCTGCAATAGATGACAGTAGAATTTTTTATCCTCCAGGAGTACTTCAGTAAATGCTCCATAGTTAGTAAGAGTGTGTACTTGTGACTCTTGGGAATTTCCTCCCCCTTTTTGGTCAGTTGACAAGTTCTGGATTGTGTTGGTGTTCCTTTTCTTCCAGCTAAGAAAGTGAAACTTCTCCAAGAGAATGTTCTGCCTTCTATTGCTGTCTTTGGATGAAGTGGTTTAAAGCATGTCTTCCAGAGTCATAACAGTGTGACAGCCATGGTGGTTTGGGGTCATGTGGGCAATCATTCTGTCAAGTTCACCATTCTGCTTTCACACTTGGAAACTAACATAACAACTTGTTACATCTGTGAGTGATGGCAAGCAGATGTTTCCTTTGCGGTTTTGTTTTGCTGCTTTGTTTCTTTTTTTTTTTTTTGCAAGCACTCTGTTGCCTTTCACAGAGTGTAGGATTCATCCTAGGCTCTATTTGTCCCTTACAGATGTCTTTTATTTGTGTCATGTATGGAATTTATTTTTCTGAGAACGGTCAATGCATTATTTAATCTTTTCCATTTTACATGTGTTTTATATTGTCCAGTTTTACTGAGTTGCTTATAATCTTGCGTGTGAAATTTAAGCATTGATGTCAAGCTTTTCAAAGTCCAGAATGAAGACTCATGCTTCAGTCTTTCTTCTCCCACTTCCAGGTTGACAGTTTGATCCCATTGTTGATCACATTTTTCCTCAACATTTTTCATTCCATTTTGGACAGTTGTTTTTTAACTGTCTGATTTTCTGAAGTGTCTTCAGTACACTGCTTCTTTCCATAGGTTGGAATCGTGTTATCCCCACACCTATGCTGATTTCTAGCTCATATATATTCTAAAATCGTCACATCAAATCACTCATATGTTTGATCCACATCAGGTTGTATCATTTATTGCTTCATTATTCATTACTTATATGAGTATTCTGTGTTTCAGACATTTATGTCCTAATTCCTTTAATTTCCTAAGCTGATACGCACATTTCTGCACCATAACAGTAGGATGCTGCCCAGCACAAGTCGATACTTCTATGACACAAACCACAATGGCTGAAAGAGACCTATTTTTTATTTATCTTTCCCTTGTCTATGGAAGCGTATGTCCTAGTTCTCTTTTCTTTTTTTATTTTTTTAAGGGGCATTCTCTATCATTCTTTCTTAACACTTAAGTGTTTCATTACTTATAAAATACTATGTGTTTTATGGAACGTTTTAGTTACTGTCAGCTTAGGTCATTACAAATCAGATTAGAAGAAGGAAAACAAATGTATTTGGTTTTTTTTTTCCCCTAGTTCTCTTTCTTTTCAGCTTTGATCAGGTCTGATAGCTACTTGCATGTGGTGTCCTGTTTCTCTGTAGGTAGTCTTGTGACATTCTGTGAAAATTTTTTAAATGTTCAAGGGACAAGAGTCAGGGTTGGAGTTTTTTTCCAGATTTTGAATGTGAACTGAAAAGTAATGAAGATGGAAGAATGGTGTATTGTAGGATGATTCTCCAACTTCTACGTACGATAGCTTTGACGTAAAAGACCAAAAGAGGTGCTATAAGTATTTAGGATTCATTTACCCAAAGTATTACTTTTTTTTTCTGAGGAAGGGCATTAAGATTGCTATGAAGGCTAAAACTTAGTAAGATATTCTTGGAAAAGATGGCTTGCTTTCGCCTCAGTGATTTCATTGAAACAAATGGCTCAGTCTCTTTGCATGAGGAACATCATCTTATGGGTTTTTAGAGTTTAATTAGAAGTTGATTTAATGAGACACAGATATGATTCCCCCCACCAAAAAATGGTATGCTAAAAATGACCCATAAGAAAGAATTAATCTGTTTTTCTATTATTATTTTGAACTTTCTGCATCATTTTTGTTGCTGCTGTGTTCTTGTTTAAAAATACTTCTATTTTATGTTTGAGTCTTAATTCATTGATCTTTCATGGTCTGCTCCAATTATTTTGGGATGTATTGCTAATAACATTGCAAATACACATTTGTAGGATATTTTATATGCTTTTAAAGTAACAGAATTTTACAGTAATGTTTTTCCAAACTGATCTCCGCACATAAATGTATGCCAAATGTATTGATTTTAGTGGTTCTAGTGATTGTCAAAGAGATCAAGTTTATTCAAAGGTTTAGAAATCTAATGGAAGCATAATACAAGTATAATGTGACATTTTTTTAAATACATCACATATTATACAGCAAACAGATGAAAACAAATGTTTTCTTGCCTGAGGTGGTTAAATTATTTATAGATCTTGTATCTCCATTTTGCTGAAGGTTAAATAAGATTCATCACTTCTCAAAATACAACTGTAATCTTTTCCACTTAGGGTAAGAAATAATTCTATTTTTACCTATGATCAGATTTGAAGAAGGTGTTACTCTGACTGTACAAAGCAGGCATTACTGTCTTGAACCTCTTCAATGTGGAGAATGAGAACCATAGCACTGCATACACTGCCATGCACTTAGACACCTGCTGCTTATTAATCTTCACACACCCGCATTCAGAAGGGCCTACATGGCTTAAAATTGTCAAAGTTTGTAATTGGTGTTAGGACTAATGCCAGAGGTTGAACATTGTAAAATTGGCAGTTAATACACTGATGTCTGATCAAACTCTTTTTGTCTAGTTTTAATTTACAGTCACTTTGTAGTAACTACAGTTACTTGTAGTTTACGTGCAGCCCATGTTACATTAATAACTCTAATACTACACTGACAAATTCAGTTACTTGGTCATTCCTCCAGATTTGGACACTTAAGTATACTGTGTGGTTTGTAGAAGGTAGAACACCTCAATTATGACTGTACAATTAAACATATAGTAAATACTGATCTGTATTAAATAGATTAGGGTTTACAATTTTTTTTATAAATCTTTAGAGAAATGTGAGAGAGAATCTTAGTGGTAATTAAAGTATTCCAAAGAGGCACAAAACAAACTGGTGTTTTCCAATCTACTATATTCCTGTCTACTAGAGTGTTAACTCTTACCTATTATCAAGGCAGCCTTCCCAAACAGTATGTCATTAACATGTGCAGGTAGAATCTACACAGGTAGAAGGATATAAATGTTGTGTTGAAGTGGCAGGTTTTTTTACAGTATAACTGTATTTAAATATGTAAAACAGTTTAATTTCAACTAGTCTAAGACCCCTTAAAAGAGAACCGCAAGAAGGAGAAATGTAACATTAATAGCCTCTTTGGAAGTGGAGTTATGGCTGCTTACAGTTCTAAGCTGGCTCAAGAATTTTTTCATCTGGTATTTACCTTTTCTGAGATGACCACTTGCTACTTCAAAAGAATTTTTAAGAAATCACCAAGTAGGCAGTTGGTTTTTTGTCATATGGCAAATGATTTCCTAAAGTGATGATTTCCTCCAAGAAAATAATTTTAAAGTTTACTTTTTATGTGTCAATGTATCAGATATTAGTGGAATATTCTCTGATGTTTTTAATTTCCTTCTGCATTCCTTCTGATTTTCTTTCCTTGTTAAATAAGGAGAAAGTGTGGTATTGTTAGCTTGTGGCAGCTATTTAAGACAGAGGTTCTAATTATACTATTTCAGAGATAAAAACATAACAAATGAAACTGGACTTGTCTGAGTTGTGTGTAGTTAAACTTAGAGTTGCTTGTAAACCTTTGGTCTTCATTTTTACAGACTATGGAAACCTTTTCCTCCACACTGGTGGTATTTAGATTTTTTTGGACAACTGCAATACTGAAATAATTCCCATTTCTTTTTGTATTACCCATTCCATCTGTTGTGTACCAGTCATATGCTGGAATATGCTATAGCTTTATGAGCATCTGCCGTATACCCATTATATTCAGCTTCAGTTTGTAAGCTTTAATTCTTGCTTACTCCTCAAAAGCTATAAGAATTATTTTCTGTTTCTGTTTTGATAGTTTTTAATTTGGATTTTTTAATTGAATCTGATCACTTTGCATAGAAACAGAGCACTTCTCAACAGAGCTCAAGGAATTTACTGTAATACACAGTTCGTATCAATTTTCAAATTACACATTTTAGTATTGAGAAGTTTGTACAAAGTCTGCAAGAGACTTGTGATTCTGGTGGAAGTCTTTTTTAGCATAAGACTCCACATGTTCAGATCAACAAATGTATTTATGGCTAGTTCTGTAGATTTGTATCCAGAAGCTGTTGTTCTAACATCAATTATTATAGTTCTCTTGCAGTGGTTCTGTACTTAATGCTTTAAATTATTTCCTATAGTATGTTTCTGTTTTTGTTATATGAATAACAGATAAATATCAAAAGCGTTCTGTTACCTAGAACTGAATTTTAAATGTATTTTCTTCTAGAGAACTAGAGGACGAAAACGAAGCTTTGTGCCTGAAGAAGAAAAACCTGAGGTTGGAATATAGTGTTTTGTTTGTTGTTTGGGGCTTTTTTAACAGTTTCACAAAAAAAAAAAAAAATTAAACTTTGGGCTCAAGTGTAATGTTCAGTGCTATAACTGAAAATATTTGCTTTCCTTTCTTCCTTTCCCCGCCATTCCTTTCTTTTGCCTTCTGCTATGACAGGAAAGGATTCCCAGGGAAAGAAGACAACGACAGTCTGTTCTACAGAAGAAGCCCAAGTCAGAGGATTTAAGAACTGAATGTGCTACCTGCAAAGGGACTGGAGACAATGAAAATTTAGTCAGGTAGGTTTGATGCTCTGACTTTGTGAGGAATTATGTTGACATCTTCATCACTTCGTTATGCTGATTGTAACAAAGAAGTGTTTGTTTGGGGTGTTTTTTGTTTAAAAAAAAAAAAATAAAAAAAATAACCAACTTATTTAGGAGAAACATCACATGAGAAATATTGACTTGATTCACTTATTGACCTGCCAAACACTGTTGGATTAAGATAAAAAATAACCAAGATAATGTGTTTTTCTGACACGAGAATTAATTTTCTCTTGTCACAGTGAGTTGTCAGTGTTCTAGAGTAGGTGGGAAAGTTAAATCGGCAATTTAATGATATTAAAGCTACAGGAGCATCCTAAAAGTAATTAAATTAGCATCATTAATATTTTTATGAGCTGAAATGTGGCTCATGAGGAATTTATGCTTTTAAAAATGTATTAATACTACATCCACTAATGCAGATCGTGAAAGGGTTTAATAAACATGTTTTTCTATCTGAAACAGAAGTGGAAAAAACCCTTTTGAATGGTATTTTAGTAGGTGCAGAAATATAATTAAAGTGTAGAATAGCTGCCATTGAATAGCTACTGTTGACCACAACTTCTGCTGATTCTGACTTTATAGCTGGCATTGTGGCCCCTTTGCAAAGCTGTAGAAACTCCTTACAGTTCTTGAAAGAATAATGGAGCTTAGCGATCAGAAAGTGGATTTTAATTGACTCTTCTGAGCTTTCATTAAAATGATCTCATAGGAAGTTCAGATAAAAAATAGTGTTGTAATTAGGTCCTGTATGCTTAAGCAAGATTTTTCTGCATAAGATCTCTTCTTTAACTCTGATAAAATTGTTGTTTTTAACTGGAAGTATCATTCAAAAAAATACATCTTTTAGTTTATTTTAGCATTCAGAGTTATGAAAAAAGTTAAAATCAAGTATATATACAAGCAACACATAGCTTTAGAATTACGATGTGTCTCAGGTACAAATGTCTGATACTCAGAATATCTGACTTTAGTATCAATTACAGCACATGATTTGCTGAAGAAGTTGATAAAATTTAAAGGGTTGTGTGCCAGATTGTATTTTGATTTCCAAATTGGAGGCAGAGTGCCTGTATAACCACATCATGCATAGATAAGCTACTGCTAGTAGGTACTCCTGGATCCTGTTAAGTACCAGACTGTGAAGTCGATCTGGGCTGATACAGCTACACGGATCAAGGAGAATTGGCACAGGAGGATGACACATCCAGCACAGCTGAAGTGCCTCTATGCAAATGCACACAGCTTGGGCAACAAACAGGATGAATTCAGGGCCACTGTGCTGCTGGGATGCCATGACATAGTGGCTATTACTGAAACCTGGTGGGATAATTCACTCAACTGGAATGTAGGGATAGATGGATA